AGCTGCAGATACGAAAAGTGGAAGAGAAGCTAATTGCCCGTACCAGAAGCTGTATAACCAACTATGAGTCCTATAGTTAAAAAAAAAAATAGCCTCATACAATGATTACTTTCTTCCAAATGTTGCTTGAAGCGATACTCGACGAACGTTTCCCTTTGAATGAAAACATTAGTATTTCCGTTAGCCCGTAGTACACACTACGGCATGTTTTCTAGCAGGCTTTAAATGCTGCCCAACTACAAATAGGGAAACAAATATCGGCGGAGTTTTTGTTATGAGACGCAGGCGCGTTTGGAGTTCAAACTCAGGGTAGAATTTTGTCATCCGATCAAAATAATATGTAATCTGCATAATATCCGTCGGAAAGCAACTGAAGAGGTTTTTTAATTGCATAGAACGGTTGACCGTCAGCAAGCATGTACAATTACCTTTCCCCTATTTCATATATTAGGCATGCTGTTTCAGGTCTGATCTGCCATCCAAAGGCAGCGCCAAAACCTGCTGAACCCAGTGCAATGAAACAACACGGCCAAAAGAGAATGTTTGCCAATTCAAGAATTTCATTAGCCAGGTCAATGACGTTTTGCGTGTTGGAATCGACAACGTATCCTTGCATATGCTTAGAAAGGTGTATTTACGTTGAAAAGAAATGAAGAGCGATTTATAGAGGCCTGAGCGAGTAATGCTTTGTATTCTACCTCTCTACAGCTGGTTCTCAGCCATCGCTTCTATGATAAACCTCGCTATTGTGGTTTAGTGCTACGAGAAAGATCTGGCAGACTAATAGCTAAATACGACCCGCCTGATCGGATCGGATACGAATACAAGCTAAAGGGATCATGCGGACACCTTGGCCATGCATGACTGTGAGAACTGCTTCTGACAACTACTAGTACCTAAGTGTTCAACGAACCGCTAAACTAACCTACGCCTGTATTATATGGTAACTAAATAGGCACAAGCAGATTATCAAAGCCTGTGTTCCCCTACGTTGCAAATCGATTTTATGGAAAATAAAATTTTTCGACTCAATAAATCTTTATGAAAATTGGGTAGAGAGCCATTCATTGCGGCGCTATTTAGTTCATGCCGCTAACTTTGATCGTTGTCATTGCGTGTTATTATAACCGCTAAGAAATCCTCGTTCGACTTGTCTACGCTGTAAATCGATGGGCTTAGTTTGCATCCAAAATACGTTTTTTGCCAAGAACTATAAATCGTACTTCGGAAAATTAGCTAATTCAATTAGTTAAATTATTAAGTAATAAATAATAAAGCAACTATAAAAGTAAACTGAAAGTGTACTTCCCAATGCAATACCTGTTAGCAATTGGCGACAATTCAAGTGCACACATTGCCAAGAGTATTAATAACCAAAGACTGTATGTGTAGTTTCTTACCGTTATTGCCTACATTCAATTACCGCGTTCTTATATACGCTTATCTATACGCTTAAATATACGCTTACCGCTCCTTCGGTCATATCGGACTCAGGATAGAAAGATGTAACTTTAGCAGACCAACAGATATGAATTTTTCTGAATTTCTAGCTGGCTGGCTGTTTATCCTTGACCCGGCGCAGAATGACTCAGACATGACGAGGCTGCTATGATACTGTGCTGTTGTGTCCCGGACACTTTCTGCGTTTAGCGTCGAATGACCTTTCGGATGGCCGTTATTCACAAGTCTGAAACGTCAGGAACTTCGACGTCGTAATATCACCCGATCCATACGAGGCGCTTTTCCGATGAACGTAGTACACCGTACGCTTTCTGCGAATCTCATGGACTTGCTGTCCAGCGCGAAGGATGAAAACCAGCGGCTTAAGTTGGCATTCGAATAAGAGGTTCAAAAAGCGAAACTGTGATACTTAGTGCCACCGCCGCACACAGAAAGCCAGAATTCTTCTAGAGCAAGTGTAACTTTGATAACATGTTTTTTTATATGGCGCTTAGATAAAACTTCATTTAACCACAGATGCCTATCGATGATAAAGGTTAAACTATTATTGCCATTGGCCATTGCCACCGTTATTACACATGTTTTCATATGTTTAATGGGCAAAACGATCCAAGGCAAGCAATTTTTTCGTAGTTACGCAACTCCTTGCATTCGAAGCGTATATCTATATTTTTTAGAAAATATAGTATGTTGTCTGACCTCATCTATTTTCAATACTCAAGTAGAATAAAAAGCAAATAACAGTACATGACTATGCTACTATTGATCAATGATGGCAAACGAGTAAGCATACTAGCTTTACTTAGTATTTTTCCTGTGCAGAAAATATCTTATCGCAGATCTCACACACTGAGGCCTCCAACGACATATCGAAGGGTAAAAGCTTACTCAATCAAACATTATTCATATAGAGAAATCGGTGTTCGATTCATGGGACCGGAAACGTCTTTTAGAAATTCCTATTGTACCATATAGATTATGCGAGCTTGTACGGAAAATAGAAAATCCCAAGCGCATTACATTTAGCAGTGCGGCTTAATCTGAGACCATTTTATAGCCCGCCTTTCCATTCTAGTAAACTATCGACTTGCGTCTATATCCTTCACCGTTTTGTTTTAATTGTAAAAAAATACCATCATAAAGCTATGCTAAACAATGCAAATAGTCGTCACATAATTATCACAATGCATGGCAGGCCATAGATTTGTATAGAAGGTATGGGTATGTTACGTGTCAGCAGCAGAGCGCATTTACTCCACGGACTTGCATAAATTGCCCGCCTTATTAATAGCAAAATCATCATAATAACAACATTAGATTTGATTCATATGTATTTTACAGATATAACGCGATCTGAATAAAAAAAAAAGGTCTTAACCGGTTATCTTTCCATGCCCGTCAGTTTTGCGCAATGGGCTCGCTTGTTGACAATGCTGAACGTATACAAATGAGTTTTGTGTGATATCAAGCAAGCACATATATTCTTTGAAATAACGGCACGATGGCATCGTGTTCCATAGCATGATTTTCTCAACTGTGACAGACCTTTTTTCAAGCAATATAGCTAGTTTTACATAGACTGTATATTTGACAATGTGGCAAGCAGGGACGCTCGTCAGGCTCGTAAAACGTGGAATGTACTAGCATATGAAACTGGAGGAGCGCAATATAAAACAATTTAACAGTCCGCCTCTAAGGACGTTTTAAGCGATTGAGTTTAAAGCGGCAGTGATAAAAATTACTCATATGATTTTCTTTATTTATTTACAAAAAAATAGCACTTTGCTAAATTGTGCCTACTACGGGCCATCGTTATCGCATCACATGCAATCGGCTAAAACATTGGACGGTCACAAAAAAGTACGGAAGTTCGACAAAGATACCATTCAGTACAACTGGTAAAGTATAGCTGTATTTATCATAGTAGACGAACGGCCTTATGGTAACCCTCCGACTTTTTCAATTAACCCCAGTATCCCCACGTTTACGTTGTCGCCACTGGTAATATGTATATCGTGTTACTACAGGCAAATTCGGGCTTTAACAACTTGCGAACAACACTCTTATAACAGACAAAATTCGGCTGGTAACTATTGCTTCATAGAGACTTGTAAGTGAAAAGTAGCTAAGTTGACTCCAAGAGAATAGAGTTCAGAAGTAAAAACATCTTCCCGCATCGAAAATCAATTCTAGATAGTCAAGCTTTTGTTCGTCAGAGCTTAAAGGACTGCTAAAGTTTGTCCAAAGTGTGTGAACGATATTAGGCAAGGGGTTTTTAAGGAAAAGCATTATACGGGAGTGATGTAGACCTTTCAAGAGCAGAGATTGGAATCGTTGAAAACTAGCAAGGAGGCGAGCAGAGATCAGGACTCAGAAGTCTCGAACGCGTTCTCACAATCGAGCACTCCTTTCAAGAAAGCAGAATTTGAAATCTAAGAGCTTTATACACCAAAATTGGCATTTCACATGTAACACGTTACACAATTATCATCCAAACACTGAAAATTCGGGAGCTGAGTAAGACGAATTTCCATGTGAATTGATTCCGATCCATATGAAGGTGCGTGCGGTGTGCTTTGTGGAACCTTAACCAACAAAAACCCGCTTGGGGTGTTCGGTCGCTATGAAAAGGACCAGGCGAGAGAATAACAGCGCCCTGGGGAGAAATCAAGTTTGGTGGCAGTGTCAGGTAAATTCGACCGTAGGATGATGACGGTATTCGTATCGGACATAAAGCACATATGCTACTATGAAATACTCACCGAATATGAAGCAATAAATCCAGCCCGCTTTCTCGAGTCCCTCAAGAGACCCATGAATCGCTGGTCAGGCAACCGAAAGCCCGTAGTCTAGATAGTTAATGACAACGCCAGACCTAATCACCATGCCTCAATTACTTCTTGAATTGAGCAGAAGAACATCCATAATTAATGTCGACCCACTTACTCTGAAGGCAGATTTATGTGACTGCTGGACTTTTCATATTATAAAAAGGGCAACTTGTATATAAACATATTTAATTACTGATGCACTCCGAGAGACCATAGATAAAGAAATTACATATGGTATAAGTATATATATACATATGGTACATATGAGTGTTCAGAAGCTAGGAGAGCGCTGCGACTGGTGTGTAAAGGTTAACAGAGGGCACTTCCGGCACATATTAGAATGTCTTTATCGTAGCCTGCGTAAGAAAATGATTCGATTTGTAAAGTCCGCCGAATTCACCTGTAACACATGATATATATATATATATATATATATATATGAACAGTTGGCTAATGGTGGTGCTGTTACTGCCGTAATCGTATCGCTTAGTTCCTTTATTGTTGTTTCTTCTAAACTGCAGACATAGCCGAGAGTTTAGCAGGCGTTCAGGATTCAGGAAAAGTAATAGACCAAACGTAAACACTCACGCAGCGCCATGTCCACTGTCGTCTGTATGCGTCGTAGAAGAGGCGCAGGCGTGCTAAGTTCTTAAATACATCGAGGCGTCGTCTGCTAGACATGTACACATACTATCAATATGTATTTCCAGATATACGTAGTTCAGTCAAAAAAAAATTAGACTTCAATAGAGCTATTTTATCATGTCAGAGGAGCTGCGCAAAGGTGAGTTGTTAAGTGCATCCGAATAGATCCTTGCGATAGATTCGACGTTTATTAGGGATAAATGGGCTATCATATTGGTTTACAAGAGTAAAATATTAAGTAGCTTTATAAAAATTTTTGAAAGTCGTATAGCAGCGGCGAACACTAGAGTGAAGAAGAGCGCCAATAATCTGGTAACAGGCTGGTCAATCTCGGATACACGCCATGCAGATACGGCCCTTAGGTGCCGAGTGTGAAACCCAACACGTGGTGGCTTTCAATTTCCAATTAAAGAAACTTACTTCAGATTTTAAAAACATAACCTTACCATACTTGTTTTGTTCTGGGCTGCTCGACTTTATGAATAGCTTGGAAATGCCAAATCGAAGTAAGCAAGCTACGATTAATTATGGAACGTATAAACAAAGTCATATGTGCACAACCGAAGTAACGTAGACATTTCCTAAAAATAATGGTTGATAAACGAATATTTATTTATCTTATAAATGTTCGTTCGAGTCCATCTATTCGTAAACGATTGTAGTTCCTTATTTTATTTTTCAGAGAAAACTATCCTCTCCTGTATCTTCTGTCTTCTACTACGCTCTATCAATGTACGTTTTAATTTAACTTGTTTTATGAGAACCTCCTTTACTGCGATATATTTCTGACGATCCATTTTCACGTTAGGAAAGTATTTAATATTATCCAAAAGGCTTATCCAATGATGGGCTTGTTTGTTCTTTAACTAAGGTAAAATTTCTCTGGATGCTTTTCATAAGTGCCATTAAAAGTTCCTGCAGGAACTCCTTCCTTTGCTGCCTCGTTTTTACATGCTGTACAGCCTGGCCCATTATAAGATTAACTGACTTCACAATCCTAAGTATTTTAGTATCATAAGAAATTATTCGTTTCAGAACTTCGTGATACTGCGACTTGAGATACGTATGTTTAAGAAATACTCCGAATTTAGGAAGGTTTTACTTGGCTTTAACGTACAGAATGTATGTGCAGATTAACAGGCTAGATGAGAAAATACTTTCCCATGCATGCTTCGACGAATGTAAGAGGAAATCAGAAAACTTCTACATATGTCCTTTGACACCTGCTGTTAGCCAATTGGTGTAATAAACATTTGTGGGCTGTTCGTTAGTAATTCGACGGGTGAACCTTTCTTTTTCAGTGGAGTATGATAGTAATGCTCTTTGTCCCGAACCTTGTATGTCAATGTCATACAGTATTTCGACTATTATAAAAAATAAGTGCTTTATTATAAGCTCACCCGATAAATTTTACGCTAGCCTAGTTTAATTAGTATAAAGATGTGGAGACTCAGATCGTATTAAATTTAATTTAATATATCACAGACGGGAAAGTTTCTATTTGCGGAAGTAAACGTGGTTTCCACATGTTATTTATAAAGAAACTATTTTGCTTGCAAAGGGAAAACACAAATGTACCTATGTTTTGAGTAAATTTTTTTCCGACCATAAATCAACTTCTCCCGAACTGTGAATCTGCCTCTCTCCTCTCTTTCGATATGTTATAATGCCTACTAAACTTAACAACAGAGCAAATATATTGTATGCCATTTAAATTTTGATTTGGTTTCAAAGATACATGGGGCCGTTGGCGATCACTGTGATAAAAGCGCAAAATGAACTTGAATGCCCCACGAAACCTTTTCAGTCAACATGCTCAATTATAATATTATTACTTGGAGGAAAGAAAGTATAGTTTTAATAAAACATCGTGTGATAGGTGCTTCAGCTAAAGTCTAGTTCTGAGAAAGCCGTTATTACAACATTAATTTTTAAACTATTGTATAATTGTTGACGTTGTGAATATAAAGCAAAGCTATGTTTCACTCGTTTCTCATTCAAGGAACTTCTCTCAGACCGTTAACTTCAGCCGGTAGTAGTTAGCCTCATCGAGATCTATTAGTACCGAAAGCATGCTTCGCCCTGGTACAGACACACGTTTACGTAAAGTAAGATACTTCAGGTGGCTGCCAAGCACTCGTTTCTGTAACAATTTTATGAGAAAGAGCTGAGGCTGTATATATATATATATATACATAATATGTATATAAGATACCCGACCTGCTAACCCAAGAGTAATTCGACTAAAGATAACCAATCCTCAGATATGAGTGTTCTGCGGCTTGAGACTCGCCTTAGAATCTACTTCTCCGTTAGGCCTTTATGATCCTCGTACCCATCATCCTTCATCAACGAATTAATATCCCTTGTAGAATTCATGCACTTAATAGATTTCAAGTTACTCTTTTGCTTTCATATTTTACGCTGTTCTTTAACTTTGGAAAGGCCGCATATAAACTAATTTGTGGCTTACACATTGATACATTATTGTGAAGAAGGGTCTCCGTAAAAATACTCTCCAGGAATGCCCACACTCGAGCATACAACTTACCTGAACTTGTTTTATGACATACGCCTGGCTAGCGCGTCAGCTATCGCTTGACCTAGTGATTCGACCAGACTATACATATTTTGTTCTTCAGACAGACACACTTATAGGACACAAAGATGCTAGAACTCGTGTCAAATCTCCACGACCTTGTGATTTGGTAAGTATTTTACCAAATATTGATTCTATACCCCTACTCATCGTTTAAGAAACTAGCTGCGAAATTACAATGATAATAATTTTATCATGTCTAATGAGTAGCATGCCATAACATGAGTCAATGTACATCACATATAGTATACATAATGTGCATTCGATGTGAAAATGCATTTGTGGTCGAGAAGGCCGTAACTTAGCGTGCTTGCCTGCGCAATTAATCGTAGACAATGAACCTTTAAGCGCACTAATAACTTGTCCTTTTTGTTTTCTTCGAATCAGCTGGTGTTTTAAGCTGAGTACATTTACTGAGAACAATTGAAGCCATTGGATTGGCGCGAACTGTAGTAGGTTAGGTTAGGTTAGGTTTAGATGCTTTTTCACCTTGCTTAAAAGCAATATGAAGTCGAACTTTATCTGCTATGAGATAATTATAGACCACCATGTTATGATAATGTTTAAGTTCATCATTAATAAAAAATAATAGCGGTAATCAGTTACATCGAAGTGTTCTGTCAGGACAGTCCGATTTGGGCTTTTTACCAACATATTTCACGCCATTTGAGTCTTTAAAGATCGACGAGCCAGCTTTTAGTATGCTTATATACTGGCGATGTAGTAACGTTGCAGTCGCAAACATGTTGCGTAGTTACCTTTCTCCTATCACTTACTTTGCAACCGGCTGACTGTATTCTGCGGCAATAGTTTAGGAAATATTATAAACATAAACGCTCAAACACAAACATGTAGATGATATACATCTATATATACAATGTCGTACGATATGTTGTTTTGATGGGCGTTTCACACATAGCGCTGTAACTTGTTCTATACATAAAAGGTCCTATGGATTCGTACTTTAAAAAAGTATTCAGCAGTGTAGAGAAGCGGGTTTCGGATTCAAATTAGGGAACATTTTAGAAAACTGAGCAGGCAACGAGTAAAATGAAAAAGATTCACCTGTTAAGTACGTGCAAACCCTATGCCTACTAAGGTCGAATGAATTATCCTATTCAGTTGTCTTAAAAAGTTCCCGGGTTGAACAGCTGCATGATATTAAGGTCAGTAGAAAGAGTAATGATTCATGCAATAAGCTGGATTGGTCACGCTGGGTTACTCATTGCCTGGTTGTGTTGTAAATTTTACAGTCACAATCACTCGTTCCTAGTGTTGTTCTACCTGAAGTGCTAACAGACGCCCTTTCCATTGGAACAAAAAAAAATCTAGCAAAAGCCAAAGTTATGTAAAATAGCCTGTGTAAATAAGGAAAATGATGTTTTACACGTGACAGCAGTGAAAGGCAAGACTAGTATACAGAGATCGTTTTCAGAGACAGAAAAATCTATGCCGAATGAAGTTTCTTTTATTATTAAAATTTTTCTTTTTGAAGAGTATCTTCGCACATAGAAACGGTACAGTATTGGACAGATAGTCTTAAGTCCTAAGCATTAAACAATTTTATATGAGGGCAGAATACTAAGACAAGTAAATGAAGCAAGCCTGTTTCCTTTTCGTTAAAAAAAAATCATATACTGTGAAACAACGAAAATTGTTCAGGATATCAACATTTTCAGTTGCAGCTTTTGAGACTATAGTAAAATATTGTACAAATGATTAGAATACACTTCAGTTGTACAAACAAATTTACACCACGAAAGCTACAGGCAGGTAACTCAATAACATAACAAATACTAGATGGAAGATTTTAAAATTGGGGACGGCACACATTTCGATTCGTATGCTTTTTCCCAACCTCAAGATCGTTATACATATTGTATATAATAAATAATAACTCATGGTAGGCTAGGTTGCTACCTTAGATATTTCGAGGTAAGATAAACTGAGGCCATTATGGAATTTAGAAACAAAGACCGTGAAGGCATTATCAAAATATAACCTGTCTAATAGGTGGTAGAGATTACCTCTTTAATAGCCTACGAGCAAGTAAAGGATTCTAATATTAACTAGTCTGCAATTTATTTCTGCCGTAATGACTCAACATGTATCCATATAAGAACAATTTCAAAAATGGTTGATTAACAAAAAATTCGTGTAAAATATGTGTTCAGATGCTCAACGTATAGACCTTCATTCATTAGAGACAATGACAGGCTTAATCGGCGGCAAAATCAGTTACTTTATTACTACAGTACCTTTCTGCAGTGTTTCGGAATTTCTACCGATTACTCAAGAAAAGAAGAACGAAGGTGCTCTATAAAACTACAAATGGCTTTTGCGCGCACATCCTGAACCGTGTGTTAGCAATACACCGACATTTGCCGGACAAACAAAAAGTATCCTCGAAGTTTAATACACATTACGACTCTATGACTGATTGCAAAGTTATGTGTTAATTCGAATACAAGTCGTATTCTCTTAACTGCAACTTAATGTACTTTGAAAATTGATATGTGTCGTGATTTAACTTGATATGAATGAAGTGCGTATATTGAACTTACTAGAAGCTCAGGTAGGCTATACAAACTTTACTCCGTGGACGAACGTTCTAATGGAGTCTGCTATTACATACAAACTATTACTTTAAGAGATTGCCTTAATGTATGACCTGATATAAGCCACTTACTCCCACGCCAAAAAACATCGTTCGTCAAATATGTCTAGCTAAGAGGGGGAATACAATGGTTTAGCTGATTGCGGAATTTTAAAATTGCAGATTGCAAAATAGCTTTGTGGGTACACCGCACTTACCTCCGGCAATTGAGTCAGCTTTGTTATTGAAGTATTGGCTTTCCAACTACTCTGTACCTGACATATTGAGTCCAATATAAGAAACAAGCGTCACCGTATGCGGCGGCAGCTGCCTCAAGCTGCAGGGGTCCAGGCCTTCGGATATGTGTTCGATCGATGATTATGAGAAACAGAGAGAGAGAGAGAGAGAGAGAGAGAGAGAGAGAGAAAGAGAGAGAGGGAAAATTGGGGCACTTTGATTTCCCCGGCACCTGAAGCGCCAACAGGTAATTCGCGCGGTCGCCTATACAGCCGCCGAGACCATGTTAACTAATGAATAATCAGAAAATGTTGGACCGCGACGCGCACGAAAATGCTTCAATTGTTTTAAAGTTCAAAATGTTTTTTAAACATAAATCAGTAAAATATAAATTTGAATTACGCCCGTAAGTGGAAGCTTTCAAGTGCATGGATGTTTCACACGTGTCCGTCAGCCCTCCTTTCAATTTTGTTCCCCATAATTAAAATACTCTGATCCACTCAATATCATTTCAGAGAATGTTCAGGTCTATGCTCCTACTGGAGCACTTGACAGGGCAATTGCGAGTCCTGCGTGCCAGCTTGATCTCTGTGTGCCCTTTTTATGCCGAGAAAGCACGGTGCATATTGCTGAGCTATGTAAATGTCCCTCGACTTTAAACATCGCTTATTTTGTATTACCTTAACCGTCACACGAGTATCGTATTTACGTTTTCAAAAAAGTCGTGTTCCTCATAAGGTTAAAAAAGTATTTCAAAG